CTGCTTCGTCCTCGTCGAATCCACGGCGCTGATCGAATGAGATGCTTTTGAGAAGTTTCTAGAGTACTATCGATTGGATACATGCTTCCATATGATGAGATATACTGATTTACTTCGCGTAACGTTTATGGAAGTTCGTCACTATCCTATCCCAAGTCATCACATACGGAATTATTTTGGTCCTGCACTTCATCCCTGCCCCCAGTTTATTAGTAAATCGTACTTTCGCTTCTTCTTGGTCTCGACTGCTGTCAACCTGCCTTAACCAGTGATGGCAGCCTCTATCAGGACTACTTCACGTCGCTTCTTATCTTGTATCATGATATCCGGTCGATTCGCTTTTATTCTGATTGCAGTTCTCACTTGCGTATCGTCTTTGATTTTCACGTTCTTATTCGTGACTTTTTGAACACAGTGGCTTCGCAAGCGCGGGAATCCTTTCAGACCATACGTGCAGAGTCCCAAGTAGATACATCGTAGGACTTCGTTGTGCCTTCTAGTATATTAATGATATAACATTTTCTCACACGGCGTTGCTAGACGGTCCACCGTCTTCTCACGTTGCTTACAGTGTTGGCACATACTTTTCTCAGCTCCAAACATATTTCTCTCTTATACGTGACAGTATCGCGCTTCTTCCTGTATTTTCAAATCATACCTTTATTGATGAATCTGACATTGAGGCTAGCTCATTTCTGCGTATTTTGTATAGCTTTGCATGGTGGGTTTTCTTTTCTATTTCGCTATACAAGAATGCCTTCTGAGTTGCTAATACGTTTTCGGCGATTGGATTTTCTGCGAGATTGTACTTGGCTTTAGATAAGGTACAAAAATTGCCAAGTACGTGTTATGAGCTTTCTCCTGCTTCAGAATCGCTGCCCTGCTGGTACAAAGGGGTGCAGTATCTACAAGAACATTATGTAGCTGGAGAAGCATAAGCTCACTCTTCTGCTTAACATTATGAAGTCCACGTTCTAGCTCGTCCCGTGGCAGGCACAGTCTTTCCAAGCATGCAGGTTGCCTGTGAATG